GCTGATCAAGCAGGCGTTACTTAGGCATAGGGAAAAAAATAAATAAAAATACTTTAAGGTCTGCATTGTTCACACACATTTTTGGGAGACTTGTTTTTTTGGAATCAGGAAATCATAAACCATATATTTTCATTGAAAATTGAGAGTTAAGTGGAAGTGAAAACTGTAAAACTGCGTTGTTAGTGGCTGTTTTGAAACACCAATTACTTAATTTTTTTTTTAGAACACAAAATAAGAAAGAGATTAAAGGGTAGAAACCATGCATATTTTAGTTTAAAAATTTAATGGGGTCACAATTTCTGTCACAACAAACCAAGATGAAACCTTGGTCTGACCAGTTATTATGTATACATTAAAAACATGGACTGGGAAAACCGAGGATGAGCAGGCTCTTAAGATATTTGAATGCTGAATTAAATAAATTTATTGAGGAACCTTCACAGATCATGAATGCAAAATGAGAAGTGATGATGAAATAAACACCATTCTGTTTAATGAAGACACTTTAGATTTATTATGTCCCAGACAATTAATTTGCTTGGACATTTGCATTGAATGGGTAATGACCGAATGCCCAAAATAATTCTGGAACCAATTATCAGAGAAAAATGATAAAAGAGCGTCTATGTAACCCTATGCTCAACAATGTAGGGAATTCCCTCAAAAGAATGGGTGTAATGGGCTGGAGAACCGCTCTTAATCAGTAAGACTTATGGAAAATTGTGAGGGTTCCATCTTGGACTATAGAACATATACATTCAGTTAAAGCAGTGATAGTGATTACATTAATCTAAGGATCAGGTTTAGAAAAAAAATCATCTTCAACCAAAGAATCATCAAAAAGGTTTTATGAAGAAGTCTTAAAAACTTTTTTTTTGAAATAGGTAAGAGTTGATTCAGCAATGATTCATTGCTGAACAATATACATTTAATAGTATCAGTGAGGTAATGTAGTAATAAAGCTTTTTCAAGATACATAAAAAAAACTAACTACTGATCTTTCATAATATGCACAGCAGTGATGTAAGGAAAAGAAATACACATTATTTGATCAATAACATTAAATGTAATGAAGAACAGATATAATATCTAATCAATTTATTCTACTGTAATGTAGGTTTTCAAGGTTAACATAAATAGAAGGCACAAATATCTTCTTTTAACAATTAAACAATACATAATGGTTACAATATTATATAAAAATAGTATTAGTAAAAAAAGGTTTTATAAATGGCACACAAATCAGAAAAAGTTTTAACACAAAATGTTTATAAAGAGAAAAGAAACCTAAAATTAAATACTCTTAATAATCTCTCTTAATTATAATACCGAAAACATTTAAAGCATAATTTATATAAAATTAAAAACAAAATACTAAACAAGTATTAAACATTTTTTTTATAAATCTAGAAAAATGTTTGCGAAATTATGGCAACAATCCTCAAATAGTTTCAGATGAATGAAAGTATCCTAATAGTGGCAATCTTCCATGTAAAGAAACTATTTTTTGATTTAATTAATGCTAAATAGAATAAATTTAAAATTTATGAACACCTGTTAAGTTGTACCATTAATTTCAATCACCAATTAACCTAATGAGATTCCACATTAATATTTTTATATTGATTAGTTAATTAATAAGGCCAGCTGTTGAAAGGAATCACAAATGTGAAACTAGCAAACTTACATTAAATACAAACAGGAAATTATCACCGAAAGGCAATGGAACGCCCTTTAATCAACCTACACCCACAGAAGACAACTTGTCTTTTAACCATGTTAGAATATATTATTTCAAGAGCATTTGATTAGTAATTGATGGAAATGCCACATTAAATATTTAACTGGATTAGTTAATTAATTGAATACTTTAATATTGCATGCATTTTAATTATTTAAATTCTATTCAGAGTATGGTAATGATTTAAAAAAAAAAAAATTAAGGTTTCCTAATAACAAACATTGAGGTACTAACTAGATAAATATACTACCACTACCCAAACATATGAGAAACACATCTAACATAATTTTTATTATTAAAAAGTAATTATGATATGAAATTATTAGAATCAATATACTTATGAATGATATGAATAAACTTTAAGAAAATAGATTAATCATATTATTATATTTATAAGGCACTACTTAGTGGGCACTTACTACTTAGTAAGTATAATTATAGATAATTTAAGTAGTAAAAATAATTCCAATATTTTTAAAAATATGTTGATTCATGAAATTAAATAAATGTAAAATGATTGATTGTTATTAAGTCCATATAAATGGAAATATGTAATTTAAATAGAAATTCACTGATTAGAAATACACATCAGAAAAGTAGCAATATTCATTAAGTAGACTCTACTAAGAACATAAATTTATGGCACTTACAATAGTGATGATGTAAAAAAACCAATTAATCAAAAATGATTTTATAGACTAGTTGTGGATAAATACAATTATAATATGGTAACAAACTTTAAACAAAAATAATAAAATTATTTTTACTGTTTTTTTCAGATCATAGATTAATAAATCTCTCAGTATTACCTATTATATATATATTTTAAATATATTTGAACTTATATATCAAAGTTCTTATATATAAAACATTTCAGGTGAAATTTCTTTATATTTTACAAAAATTACTAAGAGATATATACAAACAATAGCTTTTGACTAAGTTTTTAAGAATAACATAAAAAATGAAATAAATAAAATATAAAAACAATACTAATCTACTACTACTACTAATCACAAAATTAAAATTAACTTTGTTTCAGTATTGAACAACTAAATAAAAGAATTTTTGAATAAAAAAAACTACAATACCAATGCTATTCTATAAGGAATGAATCATACAATAATACTTATAGTATAGCTTGGTTGAATGTTAGTTCATTTATCTATTACAATAATGCTGCCTGAATATGAAACATTAATTTTCTCAGCTTGTTTGTTTTAAATGAAATACTTGAGCTAGTAATTTTTATAATTCCTTATTCATTTCAGCTGAAACAGACAATTAAATCCATTTTACCATATTGAAAATATTTTAAGTAAGTAAGGAAAATGATCGATTAAATTTTGTAATTGCAGAATATCTTTTAAATCAACTAAATTATTAGGAGTAGAATAAGAATATTTTTAAATTATTTTTTTACATATAAAACTTGCAATAAAATAAAATTTGAACACAGAAGTAATTTTAAAATATTGGTGACATTACGAATTATTGGAAACAAGGACAAGGAAAGGTTTCTACCCATTTGGTTTGGCAATTGGTAAAAGAGGACGTTCTTTCTAAACAGGCATTCAGTAAATAGTTCCATTAATTTGAAATTGTTGAAATTGGCCTTGAGAAGAAAGGAGATTATAGATGAATATCATCATTTTACAAAGAATATCAGTGGAAAAGTACTTGGGATTAGCCAAGATAGCTTGGAGTTTCTGAATCCACCATAAATCTAATAATTAATTTAATAATAGAAATGTAGGAAAAGTGAATAACTCATTAAGATTTTTCACGAGTTGACTGGATACTATAGACAAAAGTGACACAGAGAGATATAGCCATTTACTTTTTCCAAATTTTCATATAATTTTTTTAATCTTTCCGAGATAACAGTGCCTAAATGCAGTGTCTCAAATGATGGCAAAAATTCCTGACACTTATTCATTCAGTCCATGACATGATGCAACATTAAGAAATATTTCTGGCATAATATGTTTATGGGAAAAAAAGTAAGGTACTTCTGCCCATCACGGGATATAGGAATGCACTAGAGATATAAAATTTGGGTAGTCGAAAGATCTTGTGAGGGTGTAAGTCGGCAGTCATTTATCTCTCAGGGGCACTTTTGCCTACCTTACCTGGACAGAGCCTTGGTCAACAAAGTTTGAAAAACGAAATGATCATAATTTCATTGAGAGAATTTTTACTTACCTTGAAAAGTTTAAGAAACCATAACTCCAAGAAATAATGATTAAACTCCAATCAGCCAATTTCTAAGTGATGGAAATTTGAAATAAAATAAATTCTCTCTATGTTATGTAATACGGAAGGCACAACTCATACCCAAAGATCATTGATCCAGAACTTTATAGTGATCAGCTACAACGAGTTTTGGTACCAAAGGTTCTTCTTCTATCTGCACAACAGGTCCATGAAGCTATCTTTGGCCAGATCAAAAGCTGCCAACCATCTTACTCTATCTTCTGCATGGGTACCACAGATCTAATGTGAAAGATCTTGCAATATCATCCCTTCAGCCTACCACATGGGTGCGCACCATCCTGGACGCTCAAATATTCCCTACCCTATTTGACTCTCAATTGCAGCTTGTAAATATATCCTACACTGAGACATCACATTCATAAGTTCTTTTATTGGAGTCTAATTAAATAAAATATTCAATTAACAATGCGATTAAACACAATCTGTGCACTGAAGTCTCTCAAGACAATATTCATATCATAAGAGGAACAATTATTATCGGCATCTTCCAAAATATCTTTCGCATCATCATTCTTCTCTTCTATGAGAGCATGAAACAAGTTACCCAGGATTATTAAACAGAAATCAGGTTTTATTTCAATAATATAACCCTTGATCACTCACTCAATGTTACAAAAAACACAAATTCCAGAACATATTGGGATTGAGATCCTCTTTAGACAAAGAGAAGATTAGGGAAGTAGTTCAAAACAGAGTTATAGACATCTTCTGTTTAAAATTGTAAGAGTGGTATTATGAAGGAATCTGAGAGCTATCTTCAAGATGGCTATGAACCATAGAATACAACAGTATATACTTTGCATATTAAAAAGAATTGAGTTACAATTAAATTATTTTTAAAATTGACAAATGTTGAGCTGCAAATGAATTGTTTTTCATAAAGACATCCAACTCTCTATTTAATGAAATACCTTCAACAATTTTAAACCAAAATAATATTTACATATAATATTATAAGTAAACTAAAAATAAATATTTACCATTAAAGTTCAGTTCGAGGAGTGGTAGTAATTGTTGGAGAATCTTCAGTATCACTAACATAGCCCTCTTCGTGGAGGTACCATGCTGGATATAATACAAGAGGTTCCACCGAAAGGGCAATCAAATTGCGAATAGGGAAAAATTTATTCCATTCTTCCCTAGAGATAACACAAAATAAAATAATTAAATGACATTTTTAAGTTAATAATTTACTTATAATAAAATAAATAATTTCAGAGTTAATGATTACATTTTTTTTTAATTAGAAGTATTGATATATCATTGTATATTTCCATTTGTAAGTGAAATTTACTATATCACTTGAGCACATCTAGTGAATTAGATAAACTGATTGTCAGTTTTAAAAGGGGATTTTTAACTAGATAAGTTTTAGCTGTTGTCTTGGATTATGAGAAAACAGAGAAGAAGTAATTTGTATTAGGAAATAGGATAAAATCTGGAATGTCAAAAATGATCAAATTTTGTTTAAATCCAGTTTTTCCTGTGGAAATATAATTGGTGGAGGATTGATTATACTTTGAGGCAAGGTTGTCTGTTATACTAGCTTCAGACAATGCATCACAACTCTAACTTCCTACATCCACAATCTGCACCACCAATTTCCTTGCAATTGTGGAATTGAATCCAACAGTTCTTCGAGTGCAGGTGATAATAATATTGTCATAGGCTACAATAACTTGTTCTTAAATTCCATCTCTAATCTTTAGGTTGTAAATCTTTCCCTAAGCAAGTTTGGGCTTTGTACTAGACCTAGAATATATATATATATATATATTTGGTGCTAAGCTGCTGTTCTTGTAAGTGGATCAGACGATCAGGATTTTTGTTTAATTTTTATGGGTACATTACATTTTTCAGTGGTTTAAATAGGCCATAAATACAATTTGTTGAGTTTTTCATAATTGGATTAAACAGGAACCTACCGTGAAATATATTCTGCGAGTACTCGAATCCATGACTACTAAATATTTTGTGTTTTTGGCATATTAAATACATTTAAACTGTTTTGTTTTTCACTAATTATAATAATTTTGAATATCAAATGAGTACGGATCAATTAAATAATAATATATAGGAAAATAATTAGATGGAGATCATAAGTAAACCAACCAGTACTAATAAGTGTATTTTTTTATATTCTAATAGGATGGTTACTACCAGGTTAAACATATTTATTTCTATGTGCTTCTTCTATAAAAAAAGTAAACAAAAAAAATAAAGATAATTAAAGGAAACATAACAATACAATAGTGAGGAATAAATACTCCCTGCATAACAGTTTAGGTAAATTATTAACTTAATTTTTTGTTCCCTCATGTGTTATGGTTTTCTTTGGTTATAAATAATAATAATATTAATGATGATATAGTAAAAATAATAGTTTTTTTTTTTTTTACTTTTTCCTTCCTAAATCCGGGTTACATTATTTGATTGGGCTACTACCACACTCTAAGGTGTATATCATTTATGCTGAACATAATAAACGATGAAATCAACATTTTCGATTTTAATAGTGTATAGATGGTCGATTATGATATGAGGAGTTGGTCAGGAGTGCGGTAAAATAAATACTATAAACTAGAATAGTATTTTATTAGTTAAGCCGACATACGACATATTAGTTAGACCCGCTTTGTAGGTCTTCATCAGGGGTGGGTTGGCTGTGCGGGCTAATGCATGTGCACAGCACCGTACGTTGCCCGGCAACCTGATGACCAAGTTACAGACAACAAAATAATTACGAGTTCCTGTCCCACCTTTAAACTTAAAAAGTATTAATTTGACCGCATCTCCGACCAATGACTTCTCATTTCCCAATTTAAATTAGGATTTTATAGGTATTATTGATTGATACTATACGATTAGGACATAATTGAAAAATGGAGCTATATAAATCAATATTAAATGTTGCAAACATCTTTAAAAAAATTGATATTTACTAGCTTACTAATTAATAGTTCATTGAAGATATGAATAGATGAAGGTTGAAAATTGATTTTTGTAACAAATAAAGGTGTTATTATCTTTATATGGTAACATTCACAACCAAAGTTTCTTGGTGAATCACTAAATTTCTTTGGGTTCGGATAGATCCTACCTTTATAAAAGAAAAAACTTTATTTGTTAGTTTCTCGAAACTTTAAATTTGTACCAAAATACCTTCATCCATGCATGTCTTCAGATATAGTAATGCATAACTTAATAATTTCATTACTCAGGATGTTTATCATAAAGAATAGGCAAATATTCATCCACAGGAATAATGTTTGAAAGAGGATCTTGTGCAATCAGTTTCTTTGCTCCCTGGCCACTGAGAAGATAACCAAGAGTCCAATATGAATATCCTGCCCAGACGAGGTAATCAGTTCCTTCAACTTGTTCTTCTTCCTTTTCCTGCAATCTCTTGCGACCAAGGTAGCTATAAAAAAATAATAGAAATAATTTCTGTACATTATTCTAGTTAATAATCACTTAATTCTCAATAATAAGTAAACTATTCATTGCCAATAGGAAAAAAATATTATCTGTTTCATGTAAACTTATATTTACAGTCATTAAAGAATGACCAGTGTTCAGTTTTAGTTTATCTAACTTTGAAAACTCTATCTTCTATTACATTTCACAAAAGAGTGACTCATCTTATGAGCAACAAACACATTATCACCAACTCAAACTGATAATTTAAATAAACTAATAAACACAATTTATTTGTTGCACAATGAAACACTATCCCACGGGAGACATTTGAGTAAAGCTGGTCTCTTTAGACAAATGAAAAAATCAAGTAAAATATTTAAACCTATTGAAACAAGTAGTACAAGTTATTGCCTCAAAACCAAGTTAAAAGAAAAAGTTTTAGCCATTTAATTTACCTGTTTTTACAAAATGTTTTGTATAAATTTGTTTTTAACGAAGCCGCTTTAAATTATCATCAGGATATTTCTACCATTTCAATTATTTATATCTTAATCACTTATATATTTTAATTAAAGTTTTAGAGATATGTATCTCATGCTGTTCAAGGCACCTATAGTCCCTTTGTTTAAAAATTCTTAGTCACTCTCTCATAACATGAAATATGGTTATTGGAAATCTGTAATAGAGGTCTGATTTCAAGCACTATTACAGAAATTAAAAAGTTTTTAAGCTTAATAAAACATGAGTAAAAATAATTTAATATAAATGATTAATAAAAATACTTTCTTGAAATTATATTTTTGACTTTAGATAAGAAAACCAATAGTTTTTTTTAGCAAAATAAGACGGCTCAAGGCAATGGCTAAAATACTTTATGACTTCAACAAAAGTATAGATATTGGACAGACATACAGCTATTGTTATTTATTAATTACATACATTCAATTATTGTTTAATGAAAGGGAGAAATTTGGACATCAGTTGATTTTTTATTAAGCCACAGTACAGTATAAATTCGTCCTCCACTAGAGGAATCATTTTCTTTTATTTGTATAAATATGAAAATACTGTAGCACACAGAGTTGTTTAAATTCCAATTAATTTTACAGAAAATTTTCCAAGGTTCTCCAAGTATTCAGTGTTTATCATTTTTATACAGATTATTTTTATAAATTAATATACACTATTAAATATACAATACCATAGATTCATTAAAATAGTTATAATACACAACCTATAGAGTTGTAACCAAGAAAAAAAGTTGATTACATTTTATTTATAAAACATAGATAGATTATAATATTTAGAGTAGATAAGTATTATTACAAAAATAAGTTACTTACACAAGATCCCATTGAAACGGAAGTCTCTTCAGTTCTTCAATCAAATATATCATTTTTCGGGTAAAAAATGGTTCAAAACGCACATCATCCTCCAGTATCATGGCTATATCATATTTTTTTTCATTAACCTAAAAAAAGAACATCAATTCAAAATATATCACACAATAGATTTGGCTTTTAATGAATTTAATTTAAGTTAACTTCAGGTTTGTTTGTTTGGACTTTAAGGCATAAAACCCTTGGGTCATCAACGCCTGTGAGTCAGTTAATATTTGTTGTCTATTGAGTTCAGAAACTCCTTAGAAGAGAGACAAAAAAATAAATGATCAAAAAACTAATAATAATTAAATATAATAATAAATAAAATTATTCTTATTTTCATATTTATTCAAATGAAAAATGAAATAAATAAAGATAAAAAATACAATAAAATAAAAATTATATTCATTCCTAAATTTTATCAAATAGTCTATGGATTTTAAGGAAGTTTATAACTGTATTAATGTTTGTTTCGCTATTGTTTAATATTACTGATATATCCGGTCCAATAATCTGTTTAAGCTCATATATAATAAGGGAATTCCTGTAAAATACGAGTAATAGTGAGATGGCTATTGGAGTATTGGTGGTAGAAGTCAATGAGTTAGATTTGTGTGTCCTATTCTTAACCTAGTCACGGCGACCTCCTCTCTGTGATTAGTGCGGCTTGAAGTGGTCCATGGCTTCATTGATTTTTTAACAACTTTTAATTTGCTAGGTGGGCTTTTGTTCCACATAGATTACCAACTATCCGATATTTCTTTTTTGAGAGGAAAACATTTCAGGAGGGGTAAGGATAGCAGTACCTCAGGCTGGGAGCGCAAATGCTTGTTTGGTTGCTGTATCTGCAAGCTCATTACCAACTATTCCCATATGACTGGAAACCCATATAAAGCAAACTGTTTTTCCCAAATTTTCAGGAATATGAAGATATTTTTAGGATACATTAAATATGTATTTTTAGGATAACTGGATGTTTTGATTACCTGTTATTTAAACCTTTTAATGAACTCAAGGAGTTGGTTATTAAGACTATTGTGTTTGACGTACAGAAGTGGAGGGCTGAGGCTATTGCATGAAGTTCCCTTGTATATATGCTCCTTAATTTATGAAGTTTTATTTTGTGTCGAGATATGGGTAACAAACCGTCAGTACAAATTAAAAATGGTTCTGGGTTACTTGTAGGAGAAGGGAGAATTCGGTTTTGTACACGGAAGGTGAAGTATTGTTATTGAATAATGTACAGAGACGGAGCATAGTTTTTGGGTGTTTGTGGATCAAACGAGGGTTTTGATTTTCTGTTTCGTGTATAGGTAAGTTCTTTACAAATTGAGCTGCTGAATAAATTCTTTCTGATAGTAGGAGTGTGGAGTTGGTTTTGTTTCTAAAAGCGTTAGAGAATTTTGGTTCAAAGATATTGTTATGGGTAGGATTTTTAATTTGGGTAAGTAGCCTTGAAATATAATTATCAGCCAGATTTTTCCTTCTAAATAAAAGAGCGGATATTCCGACCTCAGAACAAAGACTAAGAATGGGGCTTGTTCAGAAAGCGCCAGTCGCGATCCTAATCCTTGTCTGGTGGACTGCATCGAGCTTATTTTGGGTCCGATTTCGGGCAGAACTGTAAACAAAGCACCTATAGTCTAATTTAGAGCATACTAATGCTCCATACAGTCTTAGTAGCGTGTCTGTCTGAGCCCCAGGAAGTGCCGCTCGTAGATATGTCGAGATATCGTGGTGAAGCTAATCTTATTGTGGTGGTTGTTTTTAGTGTAGAAATAAGTGGTCCCCAGGTCAGTCTTCGGTCAAAAGTCATACCCAATAATCTATGCTGGTTTGAGTATGGGATTGAGGAATTACCTAGGTAGATTTCGGGCGAGTTAGGTGTATTTATTTTTCTACTGAAATGCAAGCATTTGGTTTTCTCTGGGAAAAATCGGAGACCAATGGAGTGGGGCAGTTGTTGATTCTATTAACAGCGTCCTATCATTTGGATTGTATGGTTATAATATTCTCAAATCGACAAAATATAGCTAGATCATCCGCGAACAATAGTGGTTTGACTCCTCTTGGTAAGTTGAGCCCCAAGTCATTTATCGCCAGACAAAACAGAGTTGGGCTTAGAACACTACCCTGGGGGACACCGTTGAGCTGTTCGTGGTCATCAGATAATTCACATCCTATTTGGACCTTAGTGACGATTTGAGAGAAATGGTTTTATATAAAGATACATTTGGTCTCTTATTCCAACCGATGATAGTTTACTGAGTATTATGGAGTGGTTTATATTACAAAAAGCCTTCTTCATATCGAAAAATATGGCTATTTGTTGTTTGTTGATAAATGTATATTGTGCTTCCAATGTAACTAAATGGTCTAAAGTAGATCGGACCTTGCAGAATCTCGAATGAATCCCGGTTAAATCAAACTATTGTTTTCTATTATCCACACCAGGCTTCTGTTAATCATCCGCTCCATTATTTTACTTAAGCAACTAGTGAGAAATATAGGGCGATAGCTGGTTGGTGAACGTATTGTCATTTCCTTTTTTCAAAATTGGAATTACCACCGAATCACGCCAGTTATTCGTGAAATGTCCAGTAGACCAGAGATAGTTATAATACCCAAGTAACCATTCCAGTGTATTACCTGGAAGGTTTTTTATCATGTGATAATTTACATGGTCAAGGCCAGGAGAAGAGCCTTTAACAATACTTAAAACATTTTTGAATTCCCACATTGAAAATGGGAGGTTGTAACATATAGATTCATGTTCCGATGCCCTCTCAAGATCTATTTCTTGGAGATTACAACTATTCCTTTCAGAATTATAAATTTGCGAGAAAAAATTGGCAAATGTGTTTGAAACTATTAATGGGTTGTCAGATTTAAATAGATCATTGATTTAAGTAGAGTAACGAAAGGAAGCGGGACTTTTAGTGATTTTACGGACTTCGGTCCAGACGTCAGTCTATGTTGCAGAGGAATTTATGGAATTAACAATTTTTTTCCATGATTTGGTCTTACATTGATTTATTATTTTCCTACATATAGCACGTTGTCTCTTATAGTCAATGAAATTTTCAGAGTTCATGTACTTTTGGATCATTTTATAGGCTTTACGGCGATCTTTAAAAGACTTTTTGCAGGCATCATTAAACCAAGGAATAAGTTGCCTTTTTGGTGAACCTGAGGTCATTGTGATTGATGTTTTAGCCGCTTCTTGAATCGTACTGGTGATGCTTTCATGACCCCTGTCGATATTTATTTGGTTTGGGGGGATTTGAGATGGTGATGCTAAAGAAGTAAATAGAGTCCAGTTAACTCTGTTTAGGATCCATCTTGATTTTATCCTAGTGAGATTCGTTGTTTTGAGTTTAATAACTATGGGGAAATGATCACTGCTGTACAAATTACGGCAATTCAAGATAGTATACAATATTAATAGTATTACAATATTTGCTAAGATAGCAATACTATCTTAATCATGTACTTAGTTTTATTTAGTCATTATATTGACCAGACAATGTTTTTAAATCCTTTTCTTTTAATAATGCCATTGTAAATTGTCCACTGGTACTAAACCGAATCAACTCATTAATGGGTCCTGTCCTCCTTA